AATTAGTAAAAATGTGTCACGTTGACAAAGACAAATAGTTCACTGCTTTAGCCCACCGGTGTGTTGAAGCCACAACATTTACAATTTGAGTACGCCGTTTCGCTGGTAATTGCAACCAGCATCATCGGGCAATTCGCCAGAATGGTGAGGCTCTGCTGTGTCTCCCGTTCTTATATAGAGCAGCAGCAGGGTGACGTCATCATTAACTCATTAACTCATCAGGTGCAAAGATTCAAGGGGGAGTGATTGTAATTATATACTAGATTAGTAATCAGGCTATTGTTACGATGCGAGTTGTAGATTAGCAATCATTTGGAATGTGTTTTATTGTGATTATGCTACATTAGTAATCAGTTAGTGGTTGTTTCCCTTATAAGGAATTGTAATGTATCTTATTTAATAATGCCGCTCATAAGATGCCCTCCCAGATGGGGTTGAGAGTCAAAATTCCGTAATTTTTTTTACGTGGGCAGACCGGATATTCGAATGTGACGGGTGGCGGAAATCGTCTGCCTGCCTAATTTGTAATACTCCCCGTAACGACCCGAACCACTACAGTGTGTGAGTGTTATCAGTCGCGCACACACAGCGTAATATTTTCCGTCACCGCAATAAAGGAAGTGAATCGAGTCTGGTGGTGAAACCATAAAAACGCACAGTGTTTGGTGCCATTTTCAAAATTAAACCAAAAAAACCCCTATTATCATTCCTTATCGGCCATGGTCAATCTACTGCTTAATGAAATGCCTCCTCAAAGCCACCACCGCATTACCGAAAACTCTATGGTGGCTAGGATATGTTAACTCCCTCGCCTGCTATACAGGAGGTCGTGGGTTCAATCCCGACCCTGACGATGCCTGCTGCTGCTGTATATTTGGAGTTTGCGTCTCTCTCTCTCATCATCATCACGGTGGCTAGGAGATGTTAACTACCTCACCTGGTATACAGGAGGATCGTGGGTTCGATCCCGACCCCTGTATATTTGGAGTTTGCGTGTCTCTTCCTCATCATCATCACGGTGGCTGGGAGATGTTAACTACCTCGCCTGGTATGCAGAGGGACGTAGCGGTGTCTCTCTGCCCATGGTCGTGGATTTTTCTCCAGGTCCTCCGTTTTTTCTCTCTCCACATTTAGAATCGACGTCACGCGTTTGGAATATTTGGCTGCTTGAAATCTCCACTCGATAGCCACCACTTCATTGAGCTGCCATCGTTTGTGATGGCCAGGTCTCTTCTGAAAAAAGAGCTAAACAGTAGCTCAGTGTGGCCTTCCACCTGGTCAAATAAAAAATAATATTTAAACATACTTTTTTTTAAAACACGCTTTAATGAAATGTATCGTAGGAGTATTGGCAGAACTCCACGACTCCAGGAAGTGGCCTGAAGCTTGCCATAACGTAAGGGACCGTGTTGATTTACAGCCAACGTGAGTTGAACGTGGACAATTAGACCCAAGCCGAAACATAACATATACAAAAGATTGTTTTAGAATATATATATATATATTTTTAATGATAGAATATAGTATTGTCATCAGTATGACATACGTATGCCAAGTTTGCAGCCGATACGACATTGGGAAGTGGGTAAAATTGAGTTACAAGATTTGAGGATACAACAGAGTGAGTTAAATAACAGCGTGTGAATAAAAAGTGTCGTTTTAGTGTGGGTCTCTGTTGGTCTCTGTTGGTTACTGTGAGTGTCCGTGGGTCTCTATGGTTCTATATAGGTATCTGGATCTCTGTGGGTCTCTGTTGGTTACTGTGAGTGTCCGTGGGTCTCTATGGTTCTATATAGGTCTCTGTGGGCCTCTTATGAGTCTGTAGAATCAACGTCACGCGTGGGAGGACTGGTGTCACTTAACGTAAGGGGGGAAGGATAACTCTGGATGTCTGAAACATATTTTTTCTTTATTAAAATCCCACAGTTGCAATCGGTAGCAAAACCATTCATAGCAGCCCTGCTTTTGCGGTCTAAAGTTTGATTCGTTAGAAACGGTTGAATATTCAAAAACAACGTCTCCTATTGTGGCCTAAAATTGCGTCGTTATCGACAGTTGAACATTCAAAAGCGGTGTTCCGGTCTGGGTGTCAAAACATAAAACACAATAAAAGATACATTTTATTTACACTTAATGCGCACCGTAACATTTTGTAAACACCACGTGCAATCAATGATAGAGGTCTGTTTGGTTTAGTTCGCGTATAATATAAATGTGGTGTCGTTAAACCCGCCACCACCCGACACAGCCAATCAGTAAGGTTTGTCACGTAAACAGAACGTGCCAATTCGTTACTAGTTCAGCGCTAACCGATTGTGTTGGAGAGTAAACCCACTACAACATTTACAGTTCCAGTAGCGTGACTTTTCGCCGGTAAATCACAACAACAACTGCCAACATTGTCAGGCCACAGCCACGCCAGAGATCTGGAGAAATCCTCCTTCTGTTTCGTTCTTAAACGAGAACATACTGGCACCACGTGCAAGTTTGTTCTCGTTTTCACGATGACTGTGCGGGTGTCTCCAACTTTCTGAATGAAAAGTTAATTACAGAACCATAAAGCCACAACTTTCGTGCTTTTCAACCTCTTTGGACATGGTTAGCTTCCCCGAAACTTTACACAATCAAGAAGTGTGTATGTGTGTGTGAGTAGTGTGTGTGAGAGTGTGCGTTTAAAAAAAAATACTGTTCAGTTAAACGTCTCAAGTCCATCAAATGCATGATCGGGTGTCCGTTGATCATAATTCAGTTTTATTTGCTATTTAATTTTACTCAATATAGAGCCGCTGCGATTATAAGACTTTGTGTGTACATTACAAAGCCGATATGTGCAGCGAGGCTGACGTGATGCTTTCTCTCAGAACAGAACAAGTTTGCTATTAGCCTCTGCTGTGTAGGCAGCAACTCAGGTGGTGGGCAGAGGGCAAACAGGCGATGTCAGAACATGGGTGCTATTAGCTTGCACACTACTGCCACTTTACCCCTGTACGACATGGTGCTAGACAAGGTTGTCCAGAGTGAGATCCTCCTAGTTGAGATCCAGGTCTCGCACTTCATCACATAGATACACTTCCAGGTAGCGCACAGGTCCTCTGCTCAAGGAGAACTCCTTGGCTGCGGCTGAAAGATCACTTGTATGCCAGGCCCCAATTAAAATGCCTGCACACATATTCCAGTTCAGCTGTGCAGAGGAAGCTGAAGAGTAAATATCTTGGCAGGCACGCAACTTGCTTACGTCTGTCATGTGTCGGATAATTAGGACTTTTTCATCTGCATGAGCAGACAGAGTTATTTTCATGTCTGGCTCCTTAAGGACTAGCCCTGGAAGCCTTCTCCTTAGCAGGCACGGAAGAGGTTCCAGGACAACTGAATAAAGCTGCCATGACAGGAGAGAGCCTTGCCTAATCCCTCAGCTCAAATAAATGGGTGCACGTAGAGACCCGTTCACCTTTCTAAGACATTCTGCACTACTGTAAAGCAATGCAATGTGCTGAAGGAAGTTTCCTTCCAGTCCAAATGCACTCAAAGTACCCAGGAGGTATGTATGGTCTACACTATCAAAAGCCTTCTCGTGATTTGGGAGACAGGACTGCTAGTGGGATCTTTAAGCATCTGGACAAGATGATAAGGTCTGGATGATTAGATCTCTTACGATGAATATATTGTCTTGGATTGTGCATCCCGGAACAGTGTGTGACTGGTCCCTGTGAATGATGTGTGCTAGAACGACTTTGAGCCTATGTGATAGCACTCTTGCTAGAATCTCATAGTCATTACATAGCAAAGACACGGAGCGCCAGTTCCTCAGGTGCCGCAGATCATCCTTTTTTGGTATGAGGCAAAGTATCGCCCTCCTGCAGGATTTTGGCATATCGCCTTTGTCCAGTGCTTTGGTTAGCACTTGCAGATATTCATCCTTAAGGAGCTCCCAGAAACTGCTGTAATACTCCATCGTAAGGCCATCGAGTCCAGGTGATTTATTTCGACCCAGTCCTTCAAGGGCTTCTTCTTCTCCTTCCAGTGTCTTGTTCATGAAGTTCCGGGTTATTGGGGCTTAATTTCGGTAACTCTCGCCATAGTTCTTGTTGAGCAGAAGGAGACGCAGATTCGGGAAGAACCGATCTTAGTAGAATTCCCTCGTCACTCCGCTCAGGCTTTGTCCAATAACCAGCTAACCACCTCTATTGTACAGGCACGGTTTGACCGGCCCCACCTCTTTTCAATGCTGGCAAATAATTTGAGGCCTACATCAGCCTCCTTGAGAAAGCTGGACTCTCGATTGTATGTTAAGCCCCTTCAGCTTCGTGCACATGGACTTTTCGAAGTAACTCGTTTGCTTCCTCATATCTGTGTATCGCAGCAACATGGCCTGGGCTAAGTTCAGCCTTCAGCTCTAGGACCTCCCTGTCCAGTGCAGCAATATTGGACTTGGCTTCTATGGACCTTCATTTTGAGTAGCATTGGCTTAGAAGCTATAGTTTACCCTGCTTGCTTGCCCATCGCCACGTAAATAACCTCTTGTTGTAACAGCTGTCTCACTGGTTCAGCAGTTCCACTGCTGGATTATTTTTTCTGCCTGAGGACGACCGCTTGTGTTGCGATTGAAACGTCGTGATATATAATTTTTATTTTATTTATGTTTCTATCTATATGATCTTACCGAAATAACAAAAGAGTGTGGAGGGAAACTGGAGGATCCAGATAAAAATCCACGCAACCATGGGGAGAGAGAAAACACGCACACTCCAAATATACAGCAGGCATCAGGGTCGGGAACCAACCCACGGCCTCCTGCATACCAGGCGAGGGAGTTAACATATCCTAGCCATGGTCATAGCTCAACAACAAAGTGAATTATCATCATCACGTGGGAAATGTATAGCAGCCAAGTCCGTTGGAACTTGCTGGGGGTGGGTGAGTTGGGTAACTTCCTTGTTCCCCATTTATTTATTTTTAAAACGAGCTGCTTGCACTGCGTTGTGGCTTGGCCTTGAATTCGAGCGCTGCTGCTGCTGCTACTACTGCTGTCGCTTACCTGCGTCTGCATCGAGACCGAACCCACACCGTGTCAACCCGTACGGTTTACCCCGTATTCTTATACAGGGAAATTGAGTTTGCAGGTCCATACGGCATACATCCGTTTCAATACGGACAAACGAAAATATTCTCCCTTGTGACGGGACCTCGTGGGATGAACGTTGCGATTTATACGGGGCACGGGGTGACCATTAAGGTCTGAATTGGTCTGTAGAAAGGTAGGGCACTGATAGGGTACCTGAACCTGCAACCCGAGCAGAATAGACAACAATGTCGTCCTTGACGTCTTTCCTCTCTGGTCAAAAAGACCTCCTGCCCACCTTCGAAACGCTCATCACGGGCGTGCTCATACCCATCATGTCTAGCCTGACGGGTGTCTACTTTAACATGCTCGCCTTCCGCTGCCCCTGCGCCCCGGCCGAGAATGTCGAGTATGGCTGGAAAGCTCTGTTCATCCCTTTCGCCATCATCCTCATGGTGTCTTTCGCCATCCAGCTGAGGTCGATCGCGGTGGTGAACAGATCGCTGTGCCGCGACTCCGTGTGCCCCCACATGTGCCTCTTCCCGTTCACGGCGTTCATGAAGCACGGGGCTTTCATCGTTGCGTCGCTCGCTTGGATCGTCGTTGCCTACTTCCACGGCAATGTGCCGATCTGCATCGAGGTCATGAGCCTGGACTGGCGCCACCGCTTCTCGGTGCTCGCCCCGAGCCTCTCGCGCATGAGCGAGGAGGAGAGACGCGGGGTGCTTGCCATGGTGCCCTGCGCGAATCAGGATCCTCTGCAAGGACTCGTCCCCAACGGCACCAGCAAGGAGGTGCAGTTGGTTATCGTCAACTACCTCCACGCGACCGCTCAGGTACACACTTTGAGCAAAGCACACAGAAAGGCGATGAGTGGGAATGCGACGTGCGAATCGCTACGGTTGGTTGTCGGTGCGATGACCGTGTGTGTTGTTGGCGGTGGCTAGGAGGTGTTAAGTACATCGCCTGCTACAAAAAAGAGTGCGTGGATTTGATCCTGATTCCTGATACTGTTTATTTGGATCTTCTTGGTTCTTTCGGTAAAAGCACGTAGAAGGGAAGTAATAAAATAATAAAAATAAAACATTATAAAACACAACGCAAGCAGCCGTCCTCAGGTGACATGTTCTTCACCTGAGGACGGCTGCTTGCGTTGTGGCCTAAACGTCGTGAGAATTATTTTATTATGTTTCATTTTTATTATTTTATTACTTCCCTTCTACGTGACGACTTTACCGAAAGAACCAAGGAGATGAATCCGTGCAGTCACGAAAGCTTTAAATCGAAATGTTTATTTGGAGTTAGCGGATCTCTCTCCCTGTGGTCGCGTAGATTTTTCTCCAGGACCTCTGGTTTTCCCCTCCACATTTAGAATCGACATCATGCGTTTAGAGTATTTAGGTACTGCCTTAAATTGCCACACGATGATCAGCCGCTTTGTTATGCTATCATTTGTGATAACCAGGTCGCTTCTGATAAAGAGCCGTGCAGCTCAGTGGGGCCCTTAGTTTAGTGCCAATCTTTATCATGTCATATTACTCTGGAGACCAGGAGATTCGATGATAATCAATGTTCATCGACAGAGTGGGTAACGTTAAAAGCTGCTGCCATCTTCCTCCACTACAGTCATAGGAAAGGAGATGAAGAAGGAGATCACGTCGCGAAATTTTTAATCGTATCTTGTGAAAGTTTACACGACGGGGAAAACGTACCTTCCATTGCCTTCGCCCCACATCGGTGGCGTTCAAGGCCTATGCTGTTAAAATTTCAAACATTTTCCTCGTCGCGTTATTAATTTGTATTTTATTTTACCAGGCGTCAAGCTCTACTGAGCTGTGTAGCTCTTTTTACACGCTTTTATTTAACTCACTCTGTTGTTGTATCCTAAAATCTTGTTACTCAATTTTAACCCACTTCCCAATGTGATATCGACTGTAAACTTGGTATACTTACGTGATGCTGATGAAAATGCTATATTCTATCATGAAAAATAACATATATATGTTTTAACATTTTTTTATATGTTATGTTTCGGCTTGGGTCTAAATGTCCTCGGTCAACTGACGTTGGCTGTAAATCACCACGGTCCCTAACGTTGTGGCAATCTTCGGGGCCACTTCCTGGAGTCGTGGAGTTCTTCCATTACGAGTACATTTCATAAAAGCGTGTATAAAAAAAGTTTTTTTTTAAACATTACTTATTAAGAAGCAACCTGGTCATCACAGATGGTAGCTCAACGACGTGTCTGATATCATCAGAGTGTGGATATTTTTTGCAGCAGCAGCCAAATAATCTAAGCGTGTGTGACATTGATTCCAAATGTGAAGAGAAAAACTGGAGGATAACATCTCGCCACTACGGCGCGCCAGTTTGTGGTTTGCGGCTTTTTCAATTAAAATAAAAACGCAGCCTGGTTGCGCGCTGGAACAACAACAGCAACAGTGTCCCGAATATAAACTATAAACTCTATTTTAATTTTACCAGGTAAGGGCCCAATGAGCTACTACATAGCTATCTTTCAGAAGCGACCTAGCCATGATAGCTCAAAGAATCATCACGTGAACATTTATAGCAGCAGCCGAATATTCTAAACGCGTGACGCTGATTCCAAATGTGTAGGACCCAGAGAAAATCCATGCGACCATGGGGAGAGAGACACCGCAAACTCCAAATATGCAATAGGCATCAGGGTCGGGATCGAATCCAGAACCTCCAGTATACCAGACGAGGTTTGTTAACATCTCCTAGCAACCGCGGGAGTATGAGGGCCATTAATGAGATTTAAAGTTACAAATTAAATGTGGTTTGAATTATTCTTATTAAGAGTACAATGACGCCGACATACAGTGTACTCGGAGCCTTTTATTTGACACAGCACCAACACTAGGCCCGGCTTCTTGCTTGCCTCTTGAAGCTCGGTACGCTACCCTCCCCTTGTGCTTCTCCCCTTTAAATACTTTTCGAGCCCACGTCTCTGGAAGCTTCCCTTGCTCCGCTCCTTTCGCCGAGTCCTCGCCCTTCTCCCTCAATGGTTGCCAACCGTCACCTTAGCGCTCAACCTCCGCTTGATCCTCTCCTCCAATCCCTTTAAACCTTCGCCTCCCGACCAATCCCTGTGGAGGCCTCTCTGCACCAATGGGAAGCCATTGGCTGCTTCCTGGCTGTCTGTCTACCCAAACGTTTGCTTCCGGTGAGTGGTCAGTTGCCTCGGTTATTACAATAGTGTATATATACTGTAATGCAAGAAAAAAGTTGCACATAGAAGACCTGATGCAGGCAGTGATGAGAAGGAAATTGGCACTAATGTTGACACCATATGTAGGATGGACACAATAGGAAGATTAAAGGTGTTGTTAAAAATATATGGAAGGAACCAGATAGAGAGGGAAATAATATGGAGGGAAGACCTCACATAGATATGGCTTGACGACGACATCGCAAGAGATTGGTGCCAGAATGATGGGGCCACTGCTAGAGCAGAGTGACACTACAAGACAGAGAGAGGAAAGTGGAAACACCAAATGACGAAATGTGTAGTGGTCACACACTACTACTACTATGGTTTATCTGCCCATGGATCGTGATGATGATACACTACACTATTATACACTACACTACTAAACACTACACTATTATGCACGACACTACTAAACACTACACTATTATTCACTACTTTTCTATACACTGCACTATTATAAACTACACTACTATACACTGCACTATATACTTAGCACAAATATACATTAAACTACTATACACTACACTACTATACACTGCACTATACACGCCACTAATATACACCGTACACACTCCACGATAATCATGTGGCACTACCTGAGCAGAGTGGCACTATAAGACTAAGAAAGGAAAGCAGAAACATAAAATGACGAAACGTGCAGTGGACACCTACTCCTACGGGTTATCCGCCCCATGGATCGTGATGATGATATAATGTTGTCCGTCTCTGAATTGTAATTCTTAAATGTGTTTTTTTGTTTTAATGTTAAGTCAAAATCAATTAGTCTCTGCTGCTGTCTCCAGTTGCCTAGGTGAAGAGTAAGCAACGTTTTGGTCAATCCTAGCCAACTGGCTCAAACACGTAGTACACTAACACAGGCAGATTAATAGAGGTACATAGAGACTAATAAAGGCTCATAGAGATACACATTGACTATGGGTCCGGGTGGCCGTGGGTCGCAGTGTACGTATTATTTCACACCGTACGTATCCAACCGTGCCAATCTGTGGTTCTCTGTGGGCCCCTATGGGTTTATGTGTGTTTATATGTGTCTATGTGGATCTCTATGGTTTTGGGTGTCTGTGGGTCTCTATATATGTATCTTTGTTGACCTTTTTAGCACTGTACGTAGCCAACCGTGCTAATGTGTGGATATCTGTAGGTCTCTATGGGTGTCTCTGTGGGTGTCTCTGGGTCTGGGTGTCTGGTCTCTATGTAAGTATGTTGAAATTGTTGCACTGTACATAGCCAATCATGCTAATCTGTGGGCCTCTGTAGGTCTTTATGGATGTCTCTATGGGTCTGGGTGCCTCTAGGTCTCTATGTATGTACGTATGTTGAAATTATTTTGCACTGTACGAATGTAACGGTGCTAATCTGTGGGTCTCTGTAGGTCTTTATGGGTGTCGTTATGGTTATGGGTGTCTGTGGGTCTCTGTGTATGTGCAGTGAGTTCAATTCATGCGCACACTGGAACTTTGGGAGGCAACACTATTTATTATTGACACAACGGGTAACTCTTAACATTACACATAGGGTGGTGACCACCGACCTATCCTCGCTAACACCCCCTATCACTCGCTAACACTGACACTCTCATACGACTAGCGTGGCCAAGCCAGGAGGGCTCCTGGTTGGCCACGCTGACTTGAGTCTTGACTCTACTTTTTCATGATGGCATCTTCACGAGGCATCTTTATCCCGGACCCGAGTAGCCCCGCACCAGGTGTGGAGCCCGCTTATATTCGCCTTGGCGTGCCCGAGCAACGCCCACTTTCTCGAATCCTCGAGAAGGTTCAGCCCCTGGCCATGCGACCCCCAAGGTCCCCTTGGGGTCCCCGGCCCCCACCTTTATCCGGTCACGTGTCTGGCCGGGTTCACACAGAGTGCCATGACCTGACACAACCCCTGTGGCACTGGCGACAGCCTCCCGGCTCCCCGACCCGGCTGTGACGTCATTCCAATATACCTGACGTAGTGACGTCATGTGTGTACAGGCTCACACAGTCACTGCATATGTATGTTGAAATTATTTCGTACCATATGAAACCAACCGTGCTAATCTGTGGGTCTCTGTAGGTATTTACTGGTGTCTCTATGAATATCTCTATGGATCTGGGTGTTTGTGGGTCTCTGTGCATGCATGTTGAACTTCTTCCTCCACCGTACATAGCCAACTGTGCTAATCAGAGTACAACCAAGTTGGTTCATTTTGCTTTTTTTATGTCTGTTTTTGTTTCTGTCTCAGGACACGGCATGGCTATTTTTGCTAGCCATGACAGTCGACATACTCCTCATGCTCTCTGTTCAGAAGCTCATCTTCAAGAATATCGCTCAGGTTCAGGACAAATACGTGCAGTGTGAGGAGCAGTTAATCAGAGAGAAGACGGAGGAGCTGCAGCCCTCTCCACATCTGGGCAAGTCGATGCCGGGGCAACCACCCCAGCCGAGGGATGTAGAGGAGACTGAAATGGCACAGCTTCTGTGCAGCGGCAACGAGACACAAAAACAGGACAAGCAAGGGAACCAACAGATGGTTTAAATCCGGACAGTAATGCTGTGGTGGATGTGAGCAAAGCCATGAAGGGAAGGCCAATTTCAAGTGGCTATACTGCTCATGGTGACTGTAGCCACTGCAGAGGTAAAATGGGGTCTCTAGATGGGTGTAGGGGGCTGGTAACCCCTCCTGCTTCAATTCAACTACCACAAAACTACTTGCAAAATATCGAACTAAGCTGGTACAGGAAAACCCGGCGGGAAAGCCGTCTATGACAACTCCCACCACTCCTCACCTTCTCATAAACCCGAGGTGGCTGCTTACCCCCTCACTGAAGATGAACATCAATGGAGGGATTAGGCAAGATGCCTGCTACAGGTGCTAACTAAAGTGACCCCTCGAGATAGAGCAATCCTGTTGGGTGACTGTAATGCCCGAGTTGGTCATGATGCTGGCACATGGGATGGAGTGATTGGAAGATATGAGCCAAATTAGGTAAATAACAACGGTAGGAGGCTGCTCGACTTCTGTGTAGCCCATTGGCTTGTAATTACCAACCACACTGTTCTGGAATTGGCGCATCCACACAACATAATGGATGGATGTCGGGTCCAAACAAGAACATCTGCTGGACTATATAGTAACGGAACAGTGGATGCAGGTACATGTCCTTGACACCAGGACCTACCTTGAAGCTGATCTGCTGCCCACTGACCATCGGCTTATCATCTGTAAGATGCACATAGCAATCTTCCATTTAATCCCACAATGGCCTGATCTCAGCTAGCTGATGACAGTGGCAAGCACGAATTTCATCATTGCTTGCAGCTAGGATTGGCATCGTCCCCCCCACCTCCTTCTGATTCCAAGGGGGGATGGGTGAGGTTTAGGACTGTGGCTCATGCAGCTACAATGGCTGCTTTGGGTACAAGGTCCGAACCTCCCCAAAGACCCTGGCTGATAGAGGAGGTGTTCTGGCTGGCTGGGAAAAAGTGACAGGCCCAATCCCACCGTCTACGGCATTCCATGTCGAAGATTGAGGAGGCTTACCGCAGCCTTCACTCGGAGGATTGGAGAGCCATGTGGTGCTTCAAGGATGAGTGGTGGTGGCGAGTTGCAGAGGAGATGGAGTCTGCCTCACTAGCCCACGATCATAAATCACTCTTTAACTCCAGCTAAAAAGTTACTTGCATCGCCACACCTATCACCATTCTTAGGGCAAGGAAAGGTAATCCGATCTCCGACCCCTAAGAACAGGCTTGCAGATTTGCTTAGCATTTTTGTGAGGTCGTGTGGGAGGCGAAATCCCTCAGCCTGGAAAACATCACGGGACAAAGTGGGGATCACCCTATTCATATTCTTGGTTCTTTCAGTAAAGTCACGTAGATAGAAAATAAAATTAAAATAAAAGATAATAAAGTTAAAATAAATAAAAAATAAAAAATTATTAACTTTAAATAATAAAAGCAAAAAAACCCACGACGTTTCGATCGCAACACAAGCGGTCTTCATCAGGCAGAGAGAAACGAGGTGGCAAGCCTCTAAATGCAACTGGTTATAAGGGCTTTCAAAGTGAGCAAAGCTGTGTGGTGTAAGCAGCATGGGCGGGGCAGCCAGCGCAAATGTATGAGCCAATGGGGGGAGGAAGGGGGCAGAGACAGGGGGAGAGAGAAGGGGGGTAGAGATAGGAAGAGAGAGGGGATACAAGTAGAGCGTTAGACAATGGGGGGAAAGTGACGGGCAGAGATGATCTCTCAAGCGAATGCTGTGGGGGGTTAGCGTGTGTGTGCAGACTGCCCTATATGTCATCATAATAACAGGCTGGATCACAACAACACTAATTGTTATAACAACACTCCTACAACATCAGAGTGCAGTGCCACATTAAATACGCACTACAATGACAATAGTTTAAAGCGATTTGTAGCATGTTTTATTTTCAAAATGGAAATATGGTTTGGACGGGGTGAAGAGCTGTGTGACATCATATTTGAGCGGGGGTCTGACTTTTTGTGACGCTGTGTGACAGGGAGGGGGGGGGTCAAAAATCGTCCAAAATCACGTGACGTCATTTATGGACGGCCCCCAAGAAGAATCTCAGCTTGCATGCATCATACATCAAAACAAACGAAGTGTGTATTGTCGCATTACCGTGAGATGTTTGTCTTTTTTATTTTAATCATGTGGCCATGAGATTTGATCAGTGATGCTTATCTAATCATTCGGTACGCATTTATGAGCACGCATTCCGTACGAATATTACATTTGCCTATTGGTTTATTTTAATCACGTGATAGTGAGATTCGATAATGAAAGCTTTTCTAACCATTCGGTACGCAATTTATGAAGACGTATACTTGCACGAACAATTGTTTTGAGGCGTTAGCCTGGTTGTTTTATTTTAAATGGCCTAATCTTGTGATACGATCATTGATGCTTTGTAATAATTTAGTATAGATTTATGCATGGGTACTGTTGTTCTATTCTGATAATTGATTTTGGCTGTCAATGTATGTTGTAAATTAAAGTTTATTAGATCAAGAAGGGTCCGAGTGCTTCTTTCTTAACTCATGCATCATATCTCTCAATTGCGAGAACTGTATCCTGCGGTGAGATTTGAATTCTGAGATCTGACATAATTACACACATGATGAAGCGAGAATCAGTAAATGTTAAAACAATAATCATTGATATTATCACCATTGATAATACAGACCCATAGACAACGTGAGAGTTAATGATATTCGCTCCTAATAATTTGCATACTAATTGATCATTACTATACATTTTTCATCAGCATAATTATGCATTTACAGCATACATTTTTAATGACACTTCATAAACATGTATTGTAATCACATTTAATTATTTTTTTATTACGTTTGATTACATTAACATTACACAGTTAACAATTTACGTAATTTCACTTTCATTTATTTTTAAATCACACTATATACCACCCAACCGAAGGATCGTAACCTTATCGTGGTGGTGGGGTTTGTGTGTTCCAATGACCCTCAGAGCGATGTCGCCTGGAGTCTTTTACACCTGGTAGGGTCTCCCTTGGTAAACAAATCTGAGGGGACATTCCAGACAAATAACGGTGCAAAGAAAAGCCCCTCATGAATAGTTCGGAAATATAAAAATCAGAGAGCCTTGCCCAGACAAGGTATACTGGAGCCAGCTCTGGGTGTGGTGTTCGCCTGCAAGTGCCTGGTGGCCGGGTGACCCCCACATAACCCGGTCGGGCCCAGCCCGAATTGGCTACGTGGCACCGTCCTGTGGGCCCACAATCCGCAGGATGATGGGTGAGGGGTGGGTGTGTGATGCCAATATGGCAGGGAGGGAGATGGTCTCAGACGGACTGGGCCTTGGTAATGAACACTCGCTATTGGGATGTGGATTGGCACGTCGCTTGGGGGGAATGAGCTAGATCTGGTGGAGGAGGTGGAAAGGTACCGACTCGACATAGTCGGCCTCACCTCCACGCGCAGCATTGGCACCGGAAACAAACTTCTCGATCGGGGTTGGTCTCTCTCCTATTCCGGAGAAACCCCCTGGTGAAAATCCCGGGCAGGTGTGGGGATACTCACAAGCCCCCGGCTGGGTGCTGTTCAGTTGGAGTTTGTCCCAGTGGATGAGAGGGTCGCCTCAATGAGACTTCGAGTCTCAGAACGGAAAATTCTGACTGTTGTTTGTGCTTAAGCACCAAACAGCAGTTCAGAGTATTTGGCCTTTTTGGAGATGGTGGACAAAGTGCCGCCTACAGACTCCATAATCTTACTGGGCGACTTCAATGCTCACGTGGGAAACGTTGGAGATACCTGGAAAGGCGTGATTGGGAGAAATGGCCCCCCTGATATTAACCTTAACGGTGAGATGTTATTGGAATTTTGCGCGAGTCATGGAACATCAAGAAAAAACACGATTTTCGAACAAAATAATTCTCATTAGTGTACTTGGTACTAGAGCACCTTGGGCTGAAGGTCGATGATGGACGTTATAGTTGTATCATCGGACCTAAGGCCGTATGTTCTGGACACTCTGGTTAAGAGAGGGGCAGAGCTGTCAATTGATCACCACCTGGTGGTAAGTTATATCCGACGCTTGGGGCACCGAATAGATAGATTTGAAAGACCCAAACGAATATTGCGGGTTTTTGGGGAACATCCAGCTCTGAGAAAACTTTTCCTACACTCCAGGGGAGGTTATGGACAATTAGTCTGAGTGGACTATGTTCAGGACTTCTATTGTCGATGCGGCCTGGATACAGTTGGCATCTGTCATGGTGGCAAACCTAGACCCGCTGTTGGACACCAGTGGTGAGGGAAGCTGTCAAATTGAAGAAGGAGGCTTTCCAAGCTATGCTCGGATAAAGGTCTACGGACTCAATTCAGAGGTTTAGACTTGCCAAAAGGGTGGTAGTGGTAGCATTCACTGAAGTGAAAACCCAGGCATGGGAGGAGTTTGAAGAAGCCATGGAGAAAGACTACAGGGCACCCTCAAACCATCTGACGGGACGTGGCGTAGGGTGTTTTCAGTCAGGGTGGGATAACATCGAACTCAATTAAGGAGATAGTGGAAAGGTGGAAGGAACACTTTGAGGAGCTCCTCAATCCGGTGTAAGTGCCCTCCTCTCAGGAGGCACCCCTAGAAATAGTTGGAGGTTTCGGAATTATCAAATCTCCTGAAGTCACTGCGGAGGTCGAGGGCCTTCAGAGCGGCAAAGCTGCTGGGGTGGACGAGATTCGCCCAGAGTTTTTGAAAGTTCTGAAAGTGTAGGGGTGTCGTGGTTAACATGCCTCTTTAATGTGGCATGGAAGGGGGGTACAGTTCCTCTGAATTGCCAAACTGGGGTCATACTCCCCATTTTTAAGAAACGGGACCAGAGGGTGTGCTCCAACTACAGAGGGATCACACTTCTCAGCGTTCCAGGTAAAGCCTATGCCAGAGTGCTGTAGAAGAGGCTGCGCTTGGTGGTTGAGCCTCAGATTCAGGATGAACAATGCGGATTCCGCCAAGGTTATTGGAACAATAGACCAGCT